AAAAGATAGCGAGGAGGAAGAGGTGAATGAGGAGGAGGGTGAGGGCGAGGAGGAGGAGGAGGAGGAGGAGGAGGAGGAGATGCCGACGACGACGACGTCAAAGACGAACAAGAAGAAGAAGAAGAAGAAGAAGAAGAAGAGGAAGAAGAGGAGGAGGAAGAAGAAGAAGAAGAGGAGGAGGAGGAGGAGGAGGAGGAGGAGGAAAGAAGGGCGACGACGGGGGAAGTCGGGATCTGAATATGGAGGAGGAGGAGGAGGAGGAGAAGGGTTGAGCAAAAACGACGACGACGACGTCAAAGAAGAAGAAGAAAAAAAAGAAGAAAAAGAAGAAGAAGAAGAAAAAGATGAGGAGGACGACGAAGGCGGCGAGGCCGTAGAGGAGGGGTGTTTGACTTCTTTTTTTTTTTTTTTTTTTTTTTTTTTTCAATCAATCGATCAATCAATTGATTCAATCGATTCGATTCGTTGATTGAATCGAGTTGTGATGTTGATTCGATTCAGGAGGGTAGCAGAGGAGGAGGAGGGGAGGGCGATAATGGGGGAAGTCGGGATCCGGATAGGGATGATGATGATCATGATGATGATGATGAGGAGGAGGAGGAGGAGAAGGAGGAGAAGGAGAAGGAGGAGGGTTGGCAAGGACGACGACGACATAAAAAAAAAAGGAGAAGAAGATGAGGAGGACGACGAGGGTGGCGAGGTTGTAGAAGAGCGCTGTTTGGCTTTTTTTTTCTGTCTGTTTTTTTTTTTTTTCAATCAATCAATCAATCAATCAATCAATCAATCAATTAATCGATTCGATTTGTTGATTGAATAAAATTTTGATCGATTGATTCTTATTCAATCGACGAATCGAATCGATTCATTGATTGAATCGGTTGATTGATTGATTGATTGATTGATTGGTTGAGGAGGAGGAGGGTAGCGGAGGAGGAGGAGGGGAGGGCAACGGCGGGGGAAGTTGGGATCCGGATAGGGAGGAGGAGGAGGAGGAGGAGGAGGGTTGAACGACGACGACGACATCAAAGAAGAAGAAGAAGAAGAAAAAGAGGAGGAAGAGGAAGAGGAGGAGAAGAGGAGGAGGAGGGTTCAACGACGACGGCGGAATTCGGGATCCGGATAGGGAGGAGGAGGAGGAGGAGAAAAAGAAGGAGGAGGGTTCAACAAAAAAATTGTGGCAATTTTTTGGACAGGATTATCACATATGGGCCTCATTTATAAACTGTTGGAACTATGTTAATAAACTGTTTGGCCGGGGGGGTGTCATGTGGTCCACCAAAAGTGAAGGAGTTCAACACTGATCACAGATGTCGTAAACAGAATAAAGTGTGTCCAACTGTTGGTTCATTTGTTGAAAAGTTGTAGAAAAATTGTTGAAAAGTTGTTGGAAATTTGTTGACCAATTGTTAAACATTGCACTTCTTGTTAGGGGAAAAAAACTCATGTCGTACATTTGTGTGGTTTCTTCCGATAGAAGTGTCTATTTGTGCCTGTGGCGCATGAGAGTATGACAAAACAATGCATATCATTATGGCAATACGAGAATCTGGTTGTCACATTGTCATTAGGGCAAGTCAAGGCACGTAGGGTTTCACCTGTACGGAGTAATGATAGAAACCCGACATTTTCCTGACAGATCGTGAGCTCGCCATCATAGGGGAGGCTACAACACAGTAGAAAAATTACAGAACCTTGGCAGCCACGTGACCACCTTTTTCTCCTACTGCACGATACACAATGCTCTTTCACATTTGTCAATCTTCGAGTCTTCCACTACTCCCGACATGCAATACACACTGAATGCGAAACTGAATGTTTTGCTGACGATCGTCGAAAAACAAGAGGGGGGGTGGAGAGAGAGAGAGAGAGAGAGAGAGAGAGACAGAGAGAGACAGAGAGAGAGAGAGAGAGAGAGAGAGAGAGAGAGAGAGAGAGAGGGAAAAATGTGGCATGTGCGGTTTGTTTTTGGTGGAAATGGACCGAATTTATGAAGTGGCACGCAGTAGCCAACGTTTCCTTTTTCCTCTTCTGGCTTGGACCAGTTCATTCTCTGAATGGATGCGTGGGGGAACCTCAAGAATATGGTTCGCTGCCCTGCTACAAGCAGGGTTCACTACTACATGACACAATTTCTCCAACATGTCAGTCCGAGAGAGACAGTTGCATGCAGTAGCCAACCTTTCTTTTTTTCCTCTTGTGGCTTGCGGTAATTCATTCTACGGATGACCCGTAGCGGGAGCCTCAATCATATGCTGAGATGCCCTGCTACAAGCAGGGTTAACTAGTGCGTGACACAATTTCTCCAACATGTCAGTCCGAGAGAGAGAGAGTGACACACAGTAGTCAACCTTTATTTTTCCCTCTTCTGGCTTGCGGTAATTCATTCAGCGGATGGACGCATGCGGGACCCGAGATCATATGTTGAGCTGCCCTGGTACAAGCAGGGTTCACTAGTGCGTGACATAATTTCTCCAACATGTTAGTCCGAGAGAGAGAGTGACGCGCAGTAGCCGACCTTTCTTTTTTCCTCTTTTGGTTTGCGGTAAATCATTCTGCGGATGGACACATGAGGGAGCCAAAATCATATGCTGAGCTGCCCTGCTTCAAGCAGGGTTCACTAGTGCGTGACACAATTTCTGCAGCATGTCAGTCCGAGAGAGAGAGTGGCACGCAATAGCCAACCTTGCACCGACGAGAGAGAGAAACATTTGCAGGTTGTGAGGGATGTTTGTTTACCAGATTTTTTCATGTTTTTGGTGTGCGTAGTTCTATTTACGGTCACTGCGGCAAGTCCCGGGTCGCAACGATCCTTGCCTTTTCTTTGCCGAACTATTTCCCTGTGCCAACTGTGAGGTCTTTATAAATCATGGTGTTTACACATTACATAGTCGCTCACTCTTGAATAAGACAATGATTTGTACACAATGGATTGTACAATATTGTATCATAAATAACACAACATAGGTTAAAAAAATTGTTGTTCGAGTATCGTACTTCACAGTCATTATCTCCGTTTGTCTCTCTCTCTCTCTCTCTCTCTCTCTCTCTCTCTCGTTCTCTCTCTCTCTCTCTCTCTCTCTCTCTCTCTCTCTCTCTCTCTCTCTCTCTCTCT